CCAACAGCGAATAACTTTAACACAAGGTTCGGTGTCAAATCATAGATCTGTTTCGAATTTTTGCTCAGAAAAAAAATTCCTAGGAGTCCCATGACGGGTGCCACGATGATGTCTCCCCCCAATGCAAATATGGCTGGAGCAGGGCGAGGGGCGGGCGGCCCCGGACCCTCTCCTGGAGGACCAGCTGGTGGACCTCCTGTAGGCCCTATGCGTGCCCCTGGTCAGGGACCGCCCGTCATGTACGATGGAATGCAAATGGCTCCACAACAACCGCAATACGGACAACCTATGATGAGCGGTGGACCACAAGGCCAAATGCGGGGTTATCCCGGTCAATACGCACCTCAGGGCGCACCGAATCAGGTAGGTTTCATTTCTAGTAGTTCTTGCAATTGTTTATGTCATGAATTCAGATACCTTATCCCGGGCAAGGACGAGGGCAAGCCATACCAAGAGGTGGTATGATGAACGGAGCACATATGCAACGGCCGCCTCAAATGGCACCTCCACGACCAGGTAGAAAGATATGGCTTTTTGCAGACGGTTCACCTTTATCTTTGCATAATTTTCAGCAATGCCACCACAAATGATGCCAGGTATGATGCGGCATCCGCAAATGATGGAGCAACCTTTCAATCCCAACGCACCTTTCCAAGGACAACGGCCTGATCAGTTCATGGGTGGTCCACCTCCTCAGGTAAGTGTTTGTATCATTAGGACTGCTTAGATCCCTGTGATTTATACCATATTTAGGGCTTTATGAATAGACAACCTTACCCCGGTATGATGCCAGGACATCCTGGACCACCACAAGGACCACCGGTAAATCTGTGCTATATTTTTTATTTTGTTGTATTAGTCAGAGCTTGTTCCTTTTCAGATGATGATGATGGACCCATCACAATCGAATGGACCTCATCATATAACGAATCGACAATCGGGAATACCGACTGCTGGACCGGCTCAACAACCTCCGGTACAAATTTCATGTTGCCTGACTTGTGCTAAGTTGTCGTATGTAAACTTCATTCAGGGAATGATGCAAATGCCGAATGGCGGTCCTCC